GGCCGAGCAGCCGCGGGTCTCCCCGGGGTCCTGAGAAGTTCCTCCTGCCCTTTCTGTGTAGGAAATGCGAAGCCATCTGATATAAGCAAGGCTGGCAGCTTCAAATTATGTGAAATACTTTTCCTTTCCTTTTTCTCTGCCCAGCACCAGGAATGTCTGCTTCTAAAAGAGGAGAGGTCTATCCATTTAGCCAGGGGCACCCACGCAGGTGGAGGGTTTCCAGGCACTGTCCCGGGCTTCTCCAAGCCGGTGTTTCCCTGCCGGAGGCCTGTGGAGCCAGGGGTCCTGCTTTCCCCACTGCGGGGCAGTCGGGGGGCTCTGAAGACTCCAGATGACTCCCACCCCCAGCTCAGCCCCTCGTGGCAAGGACTCTCCCCTTGCTGGACCAGCACACCTCAGAATTAATTATAAGGTAAAGTGAAGGTGGCAGTTTCATCCCTCAGAGAAAAGAGCTTGAGCCATGATCTCTGCAGTGAATCTGTGTCATGCCGGCCCTGGGACACGACCCTTACAGATGCCAGCAAACACAGCTCCCCTCACCTGCACACACCACCCAGGCTTCCTCCTGACTGGAGCAAGAATGCTGGTCCCAGGGGGCTGATGGGCACTGCCACAGGGATGCATCATGCCTGTCCCGGCACTGAATGGAGGTCACCCAGAGGGCCCTAGAGGCCTTCTGGGTCACCGCCTCAGCCTGGAGCTGCCCCTGGGACCCACAGCCCAGCTGCCCACACAGGACTCCCAGAGAGACAGGGCTCAGGGTCTGGCAGACGGCACCCCAGGTTCCATTGTACAGAATTTCCAGTCGCCCAGAGCAGGGCTGGCTGCTGTCCTGCAGCCTCAGGTCGGTGAGCCCTGCAGAGGGAGAGGCTGTCAGGGAGAACCAACTCTCAGCGGAGTGGACTGGCAGGCTGGCAGGCGGTACTGACCTGAGCACAGGACTCCGGCGTCCTCCTTGTGCCCACAGTCATGCTGGCCCCAACCCTGCGACGGGCACTGCCACAGCGCAGACTCGTTGCCCTCGCAGCCCAGCTCGTCCATCCAGATGTGCCCGGCCCCGGCCCCAAAGTGCGCGGCCCCCAGGGCACTGAGGGCTTGGCCACAGTCCAGCTGCCGGCAGACCACGTGTGCGTCCCGCAGGTCCCAGCCATCATCGCACACGGTGCCCCACGTGCCCCTATGGAGCACCTCCACGCGCCCCGCACAGCGGCCTGGCCCCGCAGCCAGACGCACCTGACGGCTCCCTGCAGAGAAAACAGGAGTCAGGGAGACCCGAGCCCCCAGGTGGATGGGCTGGGATCCAAGGGCCTCACTCACCAGAGCAAACGACCCCTGCGTCCTGCGANGCCCGGGGTCCTCACTCACCAGAGCAAACGACGCCCACGTCCCGCGAGGCCCCCGCTGCCACCAGCAGGGAGGCAGACACGTTGCAGTGGGTCAGGCGGGTCTCGGTGCCCAGACAGCGCACCCGGCTCAGCCCCACCCTGCGGGCCCCGCGCTCTGGCTCAGGCGCATCGTAGGCTCGCTCTGCCTCTCCACACCCCAGCTGCCTGCACACAACACTGGCTCCCTGCAGGTCCCACTCGTCGTCCAGGACACGGCCCCACACGCCATTCAGGGACACCTCCACGCGGCCATCACAGCGGCTCTGTCCGTCCCTCAGCCTCACGGCATCCTGGAGACCTGGGGGCAGAGGCGGGACCTGGGAGGGGCTGCCAGGGTGTCAGGGGAAGGGACCCTGAGCCTGGAAAGGGAAGGGGACCACCACCTCCCTTGGAGCCCCGTCCATGCTCAGCCCCTCTGTCCATCCCTCTTGCTGACCCACCTGAGCAGACCACGGAGGCCGAGTTTCCTGGGGCACAGGCGGGAGCCCCCAGGGTGCTCACTGGGCAATTCCACAGATAGGGCTCTGTCCCAACACAGTGAAACCTGTCTGGCCAGATGGGAGCATCCCCGTGCCCAAAATGGCCCCCTCGAGGTGTGGCCACTGCATTGCCACAGTTGAGTTGGTGGCAGAGGACAGTGGCATCTGCTAAGTCCCAGTGGTGGGCACAGAGAGGTGCCCTGGTCCCCTGAACCTGGAGCTCCACGCGCCCCTCACAGCTGCTGCTGCCGTTGACCAGCCGGAACCCTGGGGGGGGAAGGGGTGTCAGCACTGCTCCCTGGCCCTGTAGACCCTGTCCTTAATGCAAGCTTGTTAAACTCAGCCCACTCCCACACCTGGGAGGGACAGCTGAGAGCAAGTAAAAAGCTTTGAGGAGTGACGTCGCTGTAAATGACAGAGAACACCAAAACGTACCCCTCCGCTACAGTAATGGTTCAGCCGGGAAAAACGGGCAAAATCAACTTCTTCAGTAACCTGGAGTGTTGGCAAACCCGGGAATCCTGACGAGAAGTGAAGGTGTGGAGCGTGGCCTCCGGGCCTGCGGGGGGTGAGCCCAGGGCAGAGCTCGGCCCCTGGCAGAGCTGCTGCTTCCCGTGACCAGCCCCAACTCTAGGGAGCAGCCCCGCCTGCCAGTCCCCAGCCAATATGGGCCTCAGTGCACCCCGCGCCCTGGAACAGGGAAGGGGAGCCCGGCACGTGGCAGAGGAGGGAGCCCCCAAACTCCATCTCTCCTCTAAATAATGTTTAGGCTTGTAAAACTGTCTTAACCAACTTTTTGGGAACTCGAGTATCTAATCAAAAACTTACAACTGAGAAACACTTAATGAAGCAAAAAATTGGCAAATTTGGCTCCAGCAGGCAAGAAGTGAATGCTAAGGCAGAGTTCAAAAGTGGCCTCCAACAAAGCTAATCTGCCAAGACCAAAAGAGTTTTAAGTGTTATTTCTTTGTTTTTGGCTACAAGCATTTAAGAAAATCTCTGTCAAACTGCTGTATCACCACTAAGATACAAAAAAAGAGACCTCAGGGGTCACGAGAAAGAGTAGTCTTTACAGAAAGAGTTTAGAAAAGTCACTAAACAAATAACTATGACCCATAACAATTAGCAACAACCAACTGTGGGTGAGGAGAGGACCTGATTGCAAAGTGGCCATATTACAGCAATTTAACAATGTCTGGTTCTCAGCAAAATGTAAGATACACGCAAAGTATCAAGAAAGTGTGACACATTCACATAAAAAAACACCACCAGAAATTGTCCCTGAGGAAGCTAAGACCTTATACTTAACTAGAGAAAGACCTTAAGTGTCTTAAATATGCTCAAAGAGCTAAAGAAAACCAGTTTAATGATATCACATAGGGAATTTCAATAAAGAAATATAAATTATTTAAAAAGGAACTAAAGAGGATTTCTTGAGCTTAAAAGAACAATAATGGAACTGAAAAATTCACTAGATGCGTCAACAGAAGATTTGAACAAGCAAAAGAAAGAACCAATGAACTTGAAAATAAGTGAGCTAAGATTATCTGGTCTGGGGCACAGAAAAAAAAAGAAAGAAAGAAAGAAAGAAAGAAAATTAATAGATCCCAAAAATCTATGGGACCACCTCAAGTGTCCCAACCGCAAGTGTACCAACATATGTTCCACATTGTCATGAAGTTCCAGCCAGAACAATTAGGCAAGAAAGGACATAAAAGGCATTCAGGTTGCAAAGAAAGAAGTAAACCTACCTGCATTCAGAGGCATGATCTATATAGAAAATCCTACAGACTCCACATAGAACTATTAAAGCTAATAAAAAATTCAGAAATGTTGAGGGTACAGGATCAATACACAAAAATTTGTTGTATTTCTTCTATATATTGGCAATAAACAATCCCAAAGGAAAGTAAGAGAACAATTCCCTTTACAATCACATGAAAACTTACTTTCCCCTGAGCACCTGAGCCCAGCATCCTGGCCATGCCCACACTGGTGCCCGGGCCCCCGAGTGCAGTGGAACAGCAGGGACTCATTGCCCACACAGCGGAAGGCCTCCGTCCACACGAACCCAGAGCCCGGGCCAAAGTGAGCGCCTCGGGGAATGGACAAGGCTGTGCCGCACTGCAGCTCCCGACACACCACGTGGGCTGTGGCCTGGTCCAAGTCTTCGTCACAGATGGTGCCCCAGGTCAAGCCACGCCTCACCTCCAGACGCCCAGCACAAGGGTGCTCACCGCCTGACAGCCGGGCCTCAGTGTGTCCTGGGGGCAGACACTGGAGTGAACAGCCTCTCAGGGACAGGGGAGAAGATCTGCAGGCCTCTGGAGAAGTGACCAGCCTGCCAGCCCTCTAGTCTCACGGGGAGGAAGGACAGGAGGACCAGAACCACCTGGCCTGGCACAGCCCTGAGGGGCACTGGGATACCTGGGGACCTGCAGGCTGGGAGGGCCCACCTGTCCCTCGGCATCTCACTCAGATTCTGACAGTGAACACTCATTTCCTGCTCCCTGAGGCTCCACCAAGCCTGGGTGGGGGGTAGGTGAGCACAGCCCCCTCAGCCATGCACCCACAGAACCCAGAGCTCCCACATTTGTGTCATTGCCCTGTCCCCAGTTTCAGACTGTGTGTCTGGCTGGCACTTGACTAGCCTGGTCAGTTTCAAACCCCAGTGCCTAGCCGTACCCAGTACATGCAGTCCCTCCCAGGGCAGGGATGCAGGCTGGTGGACAGGGAGGGGGTGGACAAACCCCCCTGCCTCTCCTCGGGTCAGTGGCGTCCCCTTCAGTCCCCCGAGCACAGCTATGAGAAGATGCCTCCCTCTCCAAGACTGTGCATTCTTACCTGAACACACAACCTGGGCATTTGTCAGAAGGTTGCACTGGTGCTGAAAGTTCAGATTGAACCTGCAGTTGAAGATGCTGGACTCTGTTCCCTGGCAGGTCACGATCTTAGGTCCCCAGTCCTCAGAGCCCTTGACGAAGTGGGGTCTGGACGCCTGGAGCGCTGGGCCACACCCCAGACCCTTGCACAAGACATTCGCCTCTTCCAAGTCCAAACCACACTTCACACCAGAGCTTTCGGTCAATCTGATCTCAAAGGTCCCCGCGCAGGGACTGCCTCCTCCGCTGAGTCCCACCTTCGCCAGCCTTCCATCTGCAGACAGCACAGGAGCCGATCCTACTGCTCACCTGAGCCCTGCTGGTCTGGGGCATGCACCCCACTCTGCACACAGTGGCTCCCAGACAGAGGGTTTGGCCTTCAGGGAGCAGAGCCCAAGGTCTGTCTACAGAGAGGCCCTTCCTTCCCACGCAGGATCCCTCAGGAGGGGAGGGGGAGCAGCTGCACCCCTCCCTGCTGCCCTGTCCTCAAAGGCCTCCAACAGTGGACGGCAGGAATGAGCTCCAAGCACTCTAGTTCTAGGGCTTTGGCGCACTGGGAGCCCTCGCCAGAGCAGAGGGGCCAAGCGGGAGAGGGAGACAGGGTCCCTTTACTCCAGAAGGTCATGTGGTCACGCTTGGACCCGATGCTTGACCATTGACGGGAGGAGTCAGCTGAACCCAGAAAGGGCTGCCCTGGGTGTGCAACCCACAGTTGAGAAAGCACAGGTGTTCCTCACCTGTGTCACCCCGATCCCTGCTCACATGGGGCCATGACAATGCGATGAGGGCTGAGGGTCTCAGTCCTGGAGCCATGGGCTTCCACCCTGGGGGCTGCCTCAGATACACCCCCTCCTCACAAGGGCCGCCTACCTGTGCAGTGGACGGCGCTGATGCATTCACATCCGCAGGCCCGCAGCGGCTCCCACGCCCCCGGGGCGCAGTCCCAGAGCGAAGCCTCTGTGCCCCGGCACCGCACGCCCTGCAGCAGGGACTGCTGCCTCTCCTGGGGCCACACCACGTACGTGGGCGCAACATGGGCGCCGCCGCAGCCCAGCTGCCTGCAGAGGACGGCCGCCTCGAGCAGGCCCCAGCGGTCCCCGCACACAGGGCCCTGCTGCCCGCCGAGCTGAACCCGCACCAGGCCCTCGCAGCGGTTCCCACCTCTCAGCAGAGCCACGGACTCTGCTGTGGGACCTTCAGGGCAAGAACACAAGGAGGTCCTTCAGGGCAAAGATGTGCTCGAGAACTTTTTGTTCAGAATTTTCAAAAGTTCTAAACCTAATTTTCGCCTTCCATCCGAATTTGTACCCTTAACTTCCATTTCCTCGAGTTTCCTCACACCTTATTTTGATGGTGTTGATGACATTTATGAAGTAAAATGTTAACAAAAATAAATACCTAAGGAGCGTTTTCTGGGGAATCTCCCCATATATGGGTCCTAGTCACTTGCCTGCGAAAGGCTGAGACAGCCCTTCCCTCTGGGGCCTCGGCGGAGACTCCCAAGATGCACACCCTGGGTTTTGCTGTCCCCTCCCTTGGTTGACCGTCCTTAGAGCCTCAGGACAGCAGCACTCACCTGCAGGGAGAGTCCAACAGGCCAGGAGGAGGGGCCACAGCCTCAGAGGGGACAATGCCATCCCCGGTCTCCTCGGCTGCTGTGCGGCCCAGGCACAGGGGGCTGTGTTCAGCCCAGGCGCGGGCTGTGGACTCCAGCTCAGTGATGAGCTGTTCTGAGGAGGAAGCCGGCGGGCCCCACCCACCTCCCGGTGTATCAGTGTCGTCGTCTGTCATGTGGAGCAGAGGCTCAGATCAAAACCATTGAAATGTGCATGTCCTGTGACCAGCGACAGTAAAGGACACAAACACCTCTCTGTGAGGGTGGAGTCCTAGAACAGCAGCTTAATGTCCAACAGAAGAAGAAAAAGCTCTTGATGGAAGACACGTAGGAAGGGATACTAGGACGCCATTTAAAATGACAGCGCGAGCCCGGCCAGTGTGGCTCAGCAGTTGAGCAATGGCCTAGGATCCAGGAGATCTCGGTTCGATTCCCGGTCAGGGCACATGCCCGGGTTGCAGCCTCGAGCCCCGGCGGGGGGCGTGCAGGAGGCAGCTGATCGGTGACTCTCTCATCATTGATGTTTCTCCCTCTCTCCCTCTCCCTTCCTCTCTCTGAAATCAATAAAGACATATTAAAAGGAAATAGATAAGCACCTAATTTAAAAATAATAATAATAATAAAATGGCAGTGTGGACAAGTGCGTATGTTAGCTGCATGTCTTAGGGGGGGACACACAGGAAGCAAGAATGTGCACCCAGTGCATTACTGTAATTCGTGTTTATATATCTGTGCATCTTTCTAAAGACAAGTTCTCAGTGGGTATAAACCAAGGAGTATTCATTTCTCAGTGATAGAATAGTGTTTTTCATTTTCTTTCTTGGTTCCATGAGTTTTTAAATTTATAATAATGTGTATTATTTTCTAATCAGAATACCATCAGTGAAAGTTACTTCCCGAAAGATTTGCCAGAGAAGCCGTTGAAGAGAGGGCAGCTGGGGTCTTCAGGCCAGCATGGATTTCCAGAGAGCGAGGCTCCAGCTCCTCCCAAACCGCAGCCTGGCCACGCACTTAGCCAAGCTCCCAGCTCGGCCTCAGGAGCATCCAGTATGCACCCACGAGCCAAGCTGGCCACCTCCCGAGGCCAGAGGGAGGCTCCTGTGTGTGCACAGGGGTGCAGGGTGAGCTCAAACATCCAGGACACCCCTTCTCGTCCCTCAAGGCTTTGTCAGGAGCTGTTCCAGCCACATCCCCAGGACCTGGCAACTAGCCTCCCTCACCCACTTCACCCCCAGAGGCCCTGTCCGACCTCTCTGGACATCCTCCCATCTCCTTCATTGGGGCTTCCTGGCCAAAAGGGACCTTTAAGTTCACCTGCAGTATAGGGTCCTTGAGATCACAAGCTGTGCCTCTCTTACAGCCCAGAGGGGTGGGCACAGAGGAAGGGTTGAGGGTGGGAGGCAGTGCTCAGAGAGATACCCCGCAGGCTTGGTCAGACCCTGAGGGCAACCCTGAGAGGTGGGTGATAATTGCTGCCATCACTGGGAGACCCTATAGATGAGGGGCTCGCAGGGTGATTAAACCTGGTCTTTCCCAGGACTTTTACATGGGAGAGTGAGAGTCAACAGAGATCTAAATATGGGCGCGTGGGGTCATTTGAAAACCTGTCGCTGTCCCACACAGGGAGAGAATACAGAGAAATTCCCAGAGAGGGCGTGGTGACGTGTGGTCAGGGTGAGTGTGGTCACAAAGGGCTTATGGGGTCATCAGAGCAGGACAGCTCTGAGTGTTGGGGACTCTGGCACAACACCTGAGCCAGGTGGAGGGCTGTCTGCAGACAGGATGGTGGTCAGGAGCTGGTTCATAGGGAGCCCCACCCCGCACCCTGTAGAAACTGCGGGCAAGAGGCTGTGGTGAGGACAGTGGAAAACACACGAACCCACACCAGACCAGGGTGAGGCAGAAAGGGGGCAAAATCAGAACCTGGGCCACGTTACATGTCAGGAATGTTCTGAGATGAATTAATGGATGAATGAATGAGTTCAAGGGGAATTTAATCGCATCTTTTTTAGAAATGAGGAAAATGAAAGGCCTCAGGAGTCTCGCTGGGGTCCCCCATGGCCAGCTCATGGTCATCACCTCCTGCAGCAGGGGCCACCGCGGTCTTCCGTCCCAGCCTGAGCTCTGGGGCCCGGGCTGCGGGGAGCCCACCTGTACTTAAGGAGAGAGACATGCATTGGGCCCGCAGCAACTCCTCAGGGCGCCCAGGGCTTCTGGGCCCTGGTTTGTCATTGCACGTCAAAGCCGGAGGGCCAGACAAGGACTGGACAGTGAGTTGGGGTGAGAGTAGAGGGCTGCTCACACTGCGTCTCCCCCCACCATCTGCTCCGCCCCCCTGAGGCTGACCGGGAACAAAGTCCTAGAAGAACTCTGTGCACAGCCATGAAAAGAAACCTGAATAAAAATGTAGGGCCCTCCCTAAACTCCACGTCTGCCCATAAGATTCCAGGGTAACGAGCAACTCTGAAGGGACAGCCGAGTACCAACGCCCGAGCCTGTGACAGCAGTGAGGGTTATGGACACACACAGAGGGGCTCTCAGGGTCTTTAAATGTAGGTGCTGGCCGGAGCAGAGCCCTGGACGTAGGAGCAGTACAGCAGGACAAGCACGGCGGACACCAGGGCGCACAGGTGCGCACCCGCGGAGCTCAGGGCCGTGCCCCCCTGCTCTTCCTCCAGCTCCTCCTCCTCCTCCTGCTCCTCGGGGCCATGCTCCGGCTCCCAGGCATCATCGTAGTCTTCCTCCGGCACCAGGTCCCGGGACACACTGGGCCCCTCGCCCTTCTCCTCCATGGGGACATCTCCGATGTCCTCATAAACGCCTTCCGAGGGCAGACTCCCCAGCATTCCAGAACCTGCGAAGGCCACAGCAGAACCTCTAGTCCTGACACTCCTGCTGCCTAAGCCCACAGCTGCCGCCCCCGCGGGGTCTCTCATTCATGCCAGGACCCTCCAGACCCTCCTCTCCTCCTGCCTCAGTTCCCATCAAGAGCAACCCCCCCCACACACACACACAAGGGACACTCCTCCCCCAGCACCCAGGACCAGAGAGCTCCCAGCTACACAGATGACACAGGAATGGGGACCCTCAAGCCTGTCCCCACACCCCGGCAGCCCCAGGACTACAAATCTCATCCAGCTCCTCTCAGAAGCAGAGCAGGGCCCAAAGTCTCCTGTCCCCAACAAGTTGTGGGTCACTGACAAGTCACCACAAGGGAGTCCTGTGGGACCCAGCATGCGGGGCAGTAGCCAGGACAGAAAGGGCCTGCAGTGGGCCAGTATCTCAGAGTGTGCCCCCAGCCCTCCCATCCGCAGGGCCCTCCCACCCTTGCCAGCCATGCCTACCACCTACCCCTGCAGACTCCTCTGCGGCACCACTGCATGCCCAGGACCAGAGAGACGATGCCCAAGAGGGTGCCCAGGATGAGGCAGAAGGTCATGGACAGGGTCCCAGACTTGAGGGAAGGTAGTGGGGCCAAAGGAGGGCCTGTAGGGACAGTGAGAGGCGGGTCTTCCCTGGGTGCCTGCACTGCCTGGGGAATTGTGACCTTGGGCCTGGACCACCCGAGTCTCTGGGGGGAGGGGCACCCAGGGGAGAGATGGGCCCTGTCCTACTCCTGCCCTAGAGATGGCCCTAAGTTCACACAGCTCAGGGAGGGCAAGGGGGAGGGCACGGAAGGGAGGGGCCGGGAGGGCGGCTCTTACGGTGCTGACAGCCCACTGCCTTCACCTGTCCTCTGGGCATAGCCACAGTTTCTGAGAGGCCACAGCCTCCCAGGGCCAAAACCCCCAGTTGGCAAGGGAGAGACCTCAGAGAAATAGCTGGGCCCAGGCTTCCTGTCCCTCCCCACCGCTCTCCACCCGGCTGGCACAAGGATGGACAGCAGTGTTCCTCCAAGAACAGGGTATCTCCAGCACTGTGGTCCTGCTCTTGCTGACCTCGGACCCCAGACTGAGGCACAGGTGTCCACAGGAGACTCCAGGGTGCTCCTCCGTATTACTCTGGGTCAGGGCCAGACAGGAGGGTGTGAACTGAGGCCTGAGGAAGAACACACCTACCTGATGTTGGTGGTAGGACTGTGGTCCCCCTGTCACCTGCAGGAGAAATGGGCCAGACCTTAGGACAGGGAAGAAGAGGCAGAATAGCCCTGAGCAGCCCGGGCCCTCCCAGCAGCATCCAGCCACACTCGGCCTGAGCCTGTCATGTCATCGGACACCCATGGAGGCAGCCTGTGCCCCAGCATCCGGAGGGACCCAGCATAGGGGCAGCCTCAGGGTCAGGTCTGGGGGTACCCACGGTGGGGAGAAACTCCAGAGGCATCCTCCTGGTACCCTCTTCCCAAAGCCCCCGAAACACACCCTTGCCTCCCACCCACTCACGGGAGCAGCGCACACCCGCGTCCTCCTTGTGCCCGCAGTCTGTATGTCCCCACGGCTCCGCGGGGCAGCTCCCCAGGGTCGCCTCGCTGCCCCGGCACCCCACCTCGTCCAGCCACACGGGCCCTGAGCCCTGCCCGAAGGCGGCCCCAGCCAGGGCGCTGATGGCCCTGCCGCAGCCCAGCTGGCGGCACACGACCTCCGCGTCCGCCAGGTCCCAGGAATCGTCGCACACGGTGCCCCAGGAGCCAGCGTGCCAGAGCTCCACGCGGCCAGAGCAGTGGTCCTCGCCCCCGAGCAAGCGCACCGCGCCCTCCTCTGGAAAAGGGGGTTGTGGTCACTGCAGGGCAGGATTGGAATGAGGAGTGGACAGATGGACGGACAGAGGAGTACCTGGGCAGCTGTGGGTTGATGAGCAGTTGAGGGTCTCCCCAGAATCCTGCATCGTTTTCTCTGACAATCCTATTGGATTAAACAGCCGCCGTCCCAGGGTAAATGCCTTGAAAAGCTTCAGAATGAAGTCTATGGAACCCAAGTGATCCCTGGGCCCCCAGCCATGGGTCAGTGGCAGCCCCTGAGGGTGATCTGTCAGGATATGGAAGCCCCCTCCATGCCCCCAGAGATCGCCAGCAGCCCACCTGCACAGGTGATCCAGACCACCTCTCCATGGGCACAGGAGCGCGGGTGCCATGGGGCTGAGGGGCACTGCCACAGCGTAGAGCTCTGCAGCCTGCGGCACTCAATGTTGTCCACCCAGGAGATGCCCGGGCCAGAATGGACGGGCCTGTTCTCCAGCCAGGCCTGCTCCCCACAGCCCAGCTGCTTGCAAATGATCGACAAGGAGATGTCCTTCAGGGAGTTACTGCACACGGCTCCCCACGTACCATTGTAGAACACCTCGAGCCACCCAGTACAGTGTCGGGTGCCACCGTGCAGCCTCAGGGCCACTGACTCTGGAAGACGAGCACAGTCAGGCCAGGGGAAATCTCTGGAGGAGGGGCCCCAGCACTGAGACAGATGCCGCTCAAGGCCACCTGACCCAGAGAGGCCCTGGCTTCGCCCATGCAGCCCCACAGCAATCTCCCACCCCAGGATGCAGCCAGCAGCTAGCAACAGGTAACCAGAGTTAATCCCCAGTTGTAACATCTTAGCAGCTGATTGTCCAGAAACCCATCCTTGGAAATTACTTGAAATACAGAATAATATTTTTGCATAAGATGATCAATTTAGCAGTGATTATAAAAAATTTTTAAATTTTTTAAGAAAGGAATTAGCCCAAAGCACCATGTTAGGACACAGCATCAGTCCAGGCTGGCCAGTCCCCACGGCCTGTCATAACACCACTGACCAGTGTAATTCCACAGGGGGACTAAATATTGCCACATATCAGAGTATTAGACAATCCTTTAAAATTATGTTACGAGGGCCTGAAATACATAAAAAAATACCTATATATCAGGATCAATGAAGAAAGTTGGGTATGAATTGCATATGACAGAATCATAACTAATTAAAATAAGCTTAGAGGAAACACAGGAAGGAAATACATCCGTGAAATACATCCTGCCTGTGTCCACACCCCTTGCAATGAACGAGTCTATTCCCCACCCACCCAATTGGGCTGGCCTCAAGAGTCTGGCCAACTGAATGCATGAGGCAAGAGTGACTGTGCGGTTCCACAACCGGGCCTCTTGCATGTGGAATCCTGATGCCAGGCTCAGTCCTAATAGAAACAGAGGGTCCCCCACCCCTGCCAACAGCTGGCCCCTAGCAGCAGCAGCTGCTGGGACAGAGGAAAAACTGCAAGGAAATTAAAAACACAGTGACAAACTGAAGTGTACATGCAAGAACATAGACCAGAATGGACAGAACAGCAAATCAGCGACACGGACAGCAAGCACCTGGAGAAACACTTCCAGAGAGCAGAAGGGGAAATGCAAAGCAGTGAACCTCAGTGTTATTTAAAAAGAAACAATGATTGAAATAGAGGAACACCTCAGACATAGTTTAGGAAAACTTTCCTAAAGCAAAATAGGAACCAAAATCAACGAGAAGAGATCACACTTGGACCCCCAATCCCGCCCTGGAGGGCTGCCTGGAGCTGCCTGGGGAGGGAGAGCCACTGAGACCCCTCACATGCTCACACCCCAAATCAATGACAAAATTCTGTCACTCAAAAACCATCACATCCAGACAAGAGCCTCAGATATGTATGAGCTATAAACCTTAAAAATACTCTAGAAAAAGTCCTGCAACACACTATAATATGCATCCAAAGAATCTGACACAGGGGAACTCGAGCAGGAGCTTGAGGTGAGCTTCTGAAAAGGAGAGAAAAACCACCGTGGGTCCAGGGCCACCAGCACCATAGGAGCAGACACCCCTCTCCAGCCCCCCACCCCGCGTACCCCACACCCTTGCAAAACAAGGAAAGGTGCTCTTTCATGCAGCATCAGAGCCAGAGGACACTTACACGATCCATTGAGGAGTTCTCCCTACAGGGAAGAGCAGAATCCCCGGAGGTATAAGTGAACCCACAAACAGCCAGTGTGCACTGTTACTCAGGAAGACACCCAACTGCCCCATGAAAGAACTCAGCTTACAGGACTGACCTGAGCACAGGACTCCGGCGTCCTCCTTGTGCCCACAGTCATGCTGGCCCCAACCCTGCGACGGGCACTGCCACAGCGCAGACTCATTGCCCTTGCAGCCCAGCTCGTCCATCCAGATGCGCCCGGCCCCGGCCCCAAAGTGCGCGGCCCCCAGGGCACTGAGGGCTTGGCCACAGTCCAGCTGCCGGCAGACCACGTGTGCGTCCCGCAGGTCCCAGCCATCATCGCACACGGTGCCCCACGTGCCCCTATGGAGCACCTCCACGCGCCCCGCACAGCGGCCTGGCCCCGCAGCCAGACGCACCTGACGGCTCCCTGCAGAGAAAACAGGAGTCAGGGAGACCCGAGCCCCCAGGTGGATGGGCTGGGATCCAAGGGCCTCACTCACCAGAGCAAACGACCCCTGCGTCCTGCGAGGCCCCCGCGACCACCAGCAGGGAGGCAGACACGTTGCAGTGGGTCAGGCGGGTCTCGGTGCCCAGACAGCGCACCCGGCTCAGCCCCACCCTGCGGGCCCCGCGCTCTGGCTCAGGCGCATCGTAGGCTCGCTCTGCCTCTCCACACCCCAGCTGCCTGCACACAACACTGGCTCCCTGCAGGTCCCACTCGTCGTCCAGGACACGGCCCCACACGCCATTCAGGGACACCTCCACGCGGCCATCACAGCGGCTCTGTCCGTCCCTCAGCCTCACGGCATCCTGGAGACCTGGGGGCAGAGGCGGGACCTGGGAGGGGCTGCCAGGGTGTCAGTGGAAGGGACCCTGAGCCTGGAAAGGGAAGGGGACCACCACCTCCCTTGGAGCCCCGTCCATGCTCAGCCCCTCTGTCCATCCCTCTTGCTGACCCACCTGAGCAGACCACGGAGGCCGAGTTTCCTGGGGCACAGGCGGGAGCCCCCAGGGTGCTCACTGGGCAATTCCACAGATAGGGCTCTGTCCCAACACAGTGAAACCTGTCTGGCCAGATGGGAGCATCCCCGTGCCCAAAATGGCCCCCTCGAGGTGTGGCCACTGCATTGCCACAGTTGAGTTGGTGGCAGAGGACAGTGGCATCTGCTAAGTCCCAGTGGTGGGCACAGAGGGGCGCCCAGGCCCCCTCAACCAGGAGTTCCATGCGCCCCTCACAGCTGCTGCTGCCGTTGACCAGCCGGAACTCTGTGGGGAGAGTGTGTCAGGCTCCCTTTGACCTGAAGACCCAGCAAGGGCAATTTCTTTCTTTGCACCCAGTGTGGTGGCCACAGAGCTGCAACCTGGCTCATATCAGCTCCCCACCCCCTAAGGCTCAGCACTGGCTCACACATCTGTGCAGAGAAGCCCACACTTCGTGGTCCGGTCTTGGGGGGGTGGGCATTCTTCTAGGACTAGGCTCCTTCCTCCCTCTCCTCCCCTTCCCTCAACCCACAGCAGTAACACCTCCTCTAGTGGAACAGGACACCCTCCTGGCTGGAGGCATCTTTGTGATCTGGGTTGGAGCACCCAGGCGGAGTCCCAGAGGAAGGCTGGCAGGAAAGCAGGCAGGGGCAAACCTCAGAGCCCACCCTTCTGGCCTCACCTGAGCACCTGAGCCCAGCATCCTGGCCATGCCCACACTGGTGCCCCGGCTTCCGAGGGCAGTGGAACAGCAGGGACTCGTTGCCCACACAGCGGAAGGCCTCCGTCCACACGAACCCAGAGCCTCGGCCAAAGTGGGCACCCTGAGGTGTGGCCACAGCCATGCCACACTGCAGCTCCTGACACACCACGTGGGCTGTGGCCTGGTCCAGGTCCTCGTCACAGACAGTGCCCCAGGTCAGGCCACGCCTCACCTCCAGACGCCCAGCACAGGGGTGCTCACCAGCCACCAGCCGGGACTCAGTGTGTTCTGGGGGAGGAGACAAATTCTCAGGGGCAGGTGTTTTCAGGTAAACAGCTCAGCCTGGAGTCATCACCCTGGACCACAGGGGGCTCCAGCCAGAGGAGGTCCTCTGTATCCAGGCAGCGTGTCCACCAAGCACTGGACAGAACTGACAGCCAGAGGCCCATCGCCCTGCACGCAGAACAAAGCAGGAGTCCCTGGTCACTTCCCTAAGGTCAGAGGTTAGGGTCACCTGCTACAGGTGCCCATGCGTGTCACACAGCCTCTGCCTGTCCAGGGTGGTGGCATCAAGGCCCTGTATAATATCCGGGGCAGCGTCAAGGCATCCTCAGGCCAAAGAGCACTGCCTGCCCTAGTTCTAGGATGGGTGGGGACAGTTCACTGTCCCACCTCTGCACAGTGCTGGGAGGGCGTGACTCACCACCGCAGCGGCAGCGAAAATAGCACAGACACCGATGACAGCCAGGGCCCCCGCCCTCCTGGGGCTCTGGCCTCCAGGTCTCCCCCAAAGCTAAAGGCCAGTTTCTCGAGCAGCATTCCTTCTTCTTCTCCTCTCCCTTCCCCTGCCTGCTCCGTGTCCTCTGAAGCAGCAAGTGGCCCACAGGTGTCCTCCAGGGGAAGGAGCCGGGCGTGGAGGCGGCCTCACCTGCACAGATCACCTCTTTGTCTTGTTGGAAGTCGCAGCCGCTGCGGAGGTTGTTGTTGAGTCTGCAGTTTCGGATGGTGGGCTCGGTGCCCTGGCAGGTCATGTACTTCCCGCCAACACCCACATCTTGGCGGGAAGCCTGGAGCGCGGGCCCGCACTTCAGCTCCTGGCAGAACACCGTGGCCTCCTCCTTGTGCAGGCCACAGAGGCGATCCATTCCGTTCACGTTCCTGATCTCGGGGAGTCCCGAGCAGGGGCTTCGGCCCTTCACCAGCTGGATCTCCCGAAAAGTGCCATCTGCAAAGCACAAACCACACTCAGAAGGTGCAGCCTCTGCTGTCCCCGCGGTCACTTGAAGCCTGTGGCCTGCCTTGATGACCTCATGGCAGCTCCTAGGCACTCTGCCCTAGGCCAGGGGTCACAGCCCCAGAAACGGGCCTGCTCCTTCCTTAGGGTGTCAGTGCTGGGCTGAGGGCACCCCTTCAGAAGAGGGCGGCTTTCTGGCCAAGCGGTCACAGAGGGTCCCTCCCTCAGAAGGACCCCACTCAGAGGGGCCGTGACTGGTGTGGTGCGCGGCTGTCAAGCTCCTGACTACCTTCATCACTTTTGAAAAGGGCGCCTGCACCCCACAACCCAAGCAGTGGGTCGGCTTCAGAGGCAGGACGCTATGAGGGGCCTCAGCTCTCACCCACCTAAGTGCCCACAGGCAGCTGAAGACCCTTAAGACAGACCTCCTCACCACTGGGGTCAGAAATCCTGATTCGATCGCCCCTCGGGCCTCCTCAAGTGCCTAGAGGCCAGGCAGCCCCCACCCCGCTCCTCTCTGTCTGCTTTCTGCTCATTCCAGCTGCTGCTTTGCTGAGTTTCGTTTTTCCCGTCTCCGTGGGAGCCAGGCTCTGTGCAGCAGGACTGTGCCGGCCTATTCGCAGCTGCACCCCGCCGAGAATGGTGTCTTGCAAGGACAAGGAACGCGATGAGAGACTGGGCCATCCTAGAGGGGTCAGGCGGGTCACTGTGCCCAAAAGGAGCCCACGCAGAGAGCCCTCAGCCTCGCCTGCCTCCCCTCCCTCTACCCCTCCCCAGACTCCTCTCCCTGACTCGCCCTCTCCTCCCAACCCCTCCAGCACCACTTACTGGCGCACAGCGCGACCACCATCCACTCGTGCGGGCACTGGGTCTTCGTCCACGCCCCGAGGCTGCACTCCCAGAGGGAAGACTCGTCACCTCTGCAGGACACGTTGTGGAGCCAAGGCTGCACCCTCTCTCCTGGCAGCGGGACGTACTTGGGGGCACCTACAGCCTGGCCGCACCCCAGTTGCCTGCAGACCACCGATGCCTCCGCCAGTGTCCACTCCTGGTTGCACACGTGTCCCCACTCCCCCTCGTGTTGGACCAGCACCAATCCGTCACACTCACTGTATCTGTTCGCCAGCCTCAGGTTGGGGGGTCCGCCTGCGGAGGGACAGGCCATCCTCAGAGGGGCCAGACCGCTGGGTGCCAAGTGGGGGGAGGTCAAGCCTGAGCTGCGTGGCAATGGCCTCTGCCTTTGCCTGGGGCCATCAGCTTCCAGGGCACTGAACGCTGCTACCTTCTCCTGCCTCCATGCCCTGACACACACATGTACACGCATTCACATTCTTTCACACACACACATGCACACTCACCCATGCTACTGCAGGCAGGTCTCCCAGGGACTCACCCTTGCCTCCAGCCTCTCCATGCTGCTCCTTCAGGACTCTGCCTCTTGGCTTCCGGACCCAGCAGCTCCCCATACCCCTGTGCCCCCTGCCTGGCTGGCATCTCCCTGAGTCTATAGCTGTCCTCCATGTCTCAGCACCACGCCCGATGCTCAGCCTCACACCCAGGTGCAGCAGTTTTCCCATACCCCACCCCACTCCCAACCCTGCTCCAGGGGACAGGAGATAGCGCAGCACCTCCTGTTGGGCCCATCAGCACCACCTGTCAGTCTGTGTCATTGAGACCAGAAGCCAGCCATGTTCCTTCATTTCCTCCATGCTCTGACCCCAGCCCATACCCTGTGCTCTGAGCAGTGGGGCAGGAGACCCTGGGTTCACTCTGGGATTGGACAAGACCTGCTCAGTGTTGGGATAAGAGTCTCCAGGGGTCCAAACTTTGGACCCATATACCTTCCTGCTCCAGGACATCTCTCCCACCTCTGGGCTGAGAGAGGCCTAGGTAGCTGGTCACAGTGGGGGATGTTCACACTCAGGGTCTCAGCATCTACAGAGCTGCGGCCTCCAGAAGGTTCCGTGGATGAAGGAAGAAGGAACTTACCAGTGGGGACTGCCCAGAGAGTGAAGAGAAAGGGCCCGACTCCCAAGGCCCAGAGAGCTGTCCTCATGGCCCCTCAGCCCCCAGGGCCTCAACCAGCTCCTGTCACTCAGCTGGGGCAATGGCAGGGATGGCAGTTCAGAGTCAAATATACAGAAGTGGGAGCTGCCAATGGCCGCCCAGGACCAATGAAGACAGCGAGAACCTTTGCAGAGCACATCAGTGGCTCCTGCTCTCAATCTGTGAGCAGAGCAGCCAATGGCCTCAGCAGCTCTGAGCGTTGCCAGACATGCGCGAGGGGCCCAGGCTGTGGGTTTCCCCTCATGCTGATAAGTGCTGACAGGGCTGCTTCACTCTGACCCCACGATAAGGCAAGTGCTCCAATCTTCCCACAGCCACAGCAGCAGGAAAACCCAGGCCTGCTGGATTGGGATCCCAACCATAGACAGTGACACCAGACACCCTGGGGACCGGCAGGGGCTGAGTGGGGGCCCTGCAACATCAGAAGATGACACAGGCCAGGATAGTTTTGCAAGGGCTTTGAAAACTAAACTGTCATTGGAGCCAAAGTCCACAGAAGAAGGCCAAAACCTATACCCTAAGCTGAAACAGGTGACCACCTGCTGAAATCAAACATCGAAAAAGAATTAAGAGTCTCCCGACATCATAACCAAAGTGTCCAGGATACACATGAAAATCACTCACCATGTGAAGAGCACAATTTGATAATAAAGGACAATCAGCTGACACCAATGCCAACGTGAACTAGATGTCGGAATTATGAACCAAATTCATAAAAACGTTTCCAACCTAAAGTACAGATTCGTCTGAATCAAATGGAAAAAATAAAAAATCTCAGCAAAGAAATAGAAGTTTTAACAAGTGAGCTAATGGCACCCAGCGGACGTGGCTCAGCAATTGAGCATCAACCTAGGATCCAAAAGATCGAGGTTCGATTCCCGGTCAGGACACATGCCCAGGTTCTGGGTTTGATCCCCAGTCGAGGGTGTGCAGGAGGCAGCCGATCAATGACTCTCATCGTTGATGTTTCTATCTTTCTCTCCCTCTCCCTTCTTCTCTCTGAAATCAATAAAGATATATTTTTAAAAATAATAATAATTTTTTTTAAATGAGCCAATGGGCAAGGATGTGGAGAAACTAGAATACTCATACATTGCTGATAGGGTTGGAAATGGTCCTGCAGTCCTTCAAAATGTAAAAACATAGAGGGACTTTATGACCTGGCAACTCCACTACCAGGTGTATATCAAAAAGAAATAAAAAGTCACGTCCACACAAAAACCTGTACATAAATGTTCATAGCAGCATTATTTATAGTAACCAACAAAATAAAAACTGTTGACCAGTTGATAAACAGATAAATAAGCACAGTACATCTATACCATGGAATAGTATCTTCCCATTAAAAGGAACCAAGTATGGACACAGGTTACAATGGTATGAACCTTGAAGATGTTAGTTATGCTGAGTGAAAAAAGTCACACTCAAAAGACCACAAATATGATTCCACTTATATGAAATTTCCTAAATAAGCAAATCCAAAGACATAGAAAGTGAGCTAGTGGTTGCCGGGGCTGGAAGGAGGCAGATATGGAAAATGACCACTGACAGACAATAGTGCGGAGGGCTTGGGGGGGGAGATGGTGTG